TAGAATATAGAATATAGAATATAGAATATAGAATATAGAATATAGAATATAGAATATAGCACATAGAACATAGAACATAGAACATAGAACATAGAACATAGAACATAGAACATGGAATATTGAATATTGAATATAGGAAAAAGAAGCGAGTATCGTGCAGTCAGTCACGCTCGATTGCATCACTCTCGGCTGTTTATTCTGGTTTTGTTTTGTATTTTTGGGTTACAGCATATGTTGGACCCAAGCTTTTGGTTTTTCTCTCTTTTTGTTGTTTTGTCTTCGTTATCTGGCTTGACATTTAAAACGCCTAATTAGCTGTGGTGTCATTGTCATGGAATTATTGGAGCGTGCACCACCCGAAAAGGCCGAACCACACAGACAGGCCGTGCGAATTTGCTGTGCAAGTGCTTATTATATGCTCCAGCCTGCAGGCAAATTTAATTTATTCAAAATAACCAACACACACACACAGAGAGAGACCACATAAGACCCAACTCTGTGTATGAGTGTGTGTGTGTGGGTAGAGCTTCTAATTTGCACACATGAGCGCATTTTAGACCATGCTCGAGAAGGAATAAAAAAGGAGCATCTCAGCTGCTTGACCGTTTCATATCAGCCGCATGCTCAATTTAATTTGAATTGCGACAAGCCACGCCCACACTCACACACGCATTTTATTTATATCGTCCACAATTCACAGTCGACATGCTAAAGGTCAGCTAAGACTAGCACTGGCCATAAATTAGTGCGCTTCCTGCATGAATTTTTAGACAGCTTCGAGTTATTATGCAAGGGCCAGAGCCCAGAGCCCAGAGCCTAAGCTGCTCTCAGGTTTATTGAACTTTATGAGCTCGGATTACATGACAAAGAGAGCGATGGAGAGAGAGGGAGAGGGAGAGAGTGGAAGAGGCGCCTCGGGCTAAATGACAAGCTCTGACCGCCGGCTTTGGGCCTTGGCTAATTTATGTGCTCGACGTGTGACTGACAAGTTTATGTTTTTCATTTTCATTTTCTATTTTTTACATTTTTACTTTTTTTTTTTTCTTCTGCCCACATAAATTTCACAATATTTTTGGGGCAGATTTCGAGGAACTCAACTGGGTTATAAATTTTACGTGACTGGCTGAACTTTAAGGACAAGCCAGCCAGGCTGCTCCAGCTACTACTATCTCACCCTCTGCTCCCTCAGGCTGAGCCTTTGGGCGCATACCTTTAGCTAAGAGCGCTATGCGAGCTATTGAAATGCCAGGCTAAAAATTATACAAAAAAGGCAGTCGGCCACGCCCACACAAACACACTCACTCTCCCTCTCTCCCTCTCTCTCTCTCTCTCTCTGTGTGTAAGCTATTTATAGTTATGTAATCAGCGCGTAGTTAAGTTCACAGTTCTTTTTTTCATGCTCGCCTTTTTGTTGTTATTTTGTTTTATTTTGCTCTCGTCTCGCTTTTGCTTTGAAAATTGTTTGTAATGGCATTATGAACACTTGGCTGCATGTGGCTAGGGCCAAAAGCGGAGCCACCACTCGGCGTATGCTTCAAATTGATTTTCTATGTGTGTGTGTGTGTGTATTGTTGTTGCTTTAATTTGTGTTTATTTTAGAGCATATTTACTTAACTTTACTTTACAGCCATTAAATGAATTAATGTGTGGCACTCTAACTCACACACACACACACAGAGATACTCTTACTCTCTCTCTCACTCTCTTTCTCACTCTCTCTTTCTCATTTCAATTCTTGAGCGCAATTGTAGCCGCTTCTGCTTCTGGTCTCTGCTTAAAAAAGTTTCGCGATTTTTTCTTCTTCTTTTTGTGTGTAAACATTTCGACAGAACCGGAAAAAAACAAAGCCAGAGCACTTTGTGGGTGTGTGTGTGTGAGTATGTGTGTGTGTGGGTGTGTTGCCCAACTTTACTTTTGGCATATTTTACAGCGCAAACCCTGCGAATCGCTTTCAAGTCGCATATTCTCGTCACAAATTGCATTCGCAAGTGTATTCCCTTTTTGTCCTTCAGCCAATACCCTGTAAAAGTGTCACAAAAAGAATACCAGAACGAAATCTATAATTATGTTTTCCCCAAGGCTTCTTGCGAGTAGATATGGCACTCTCTGAAGTATATGCATATATAGCTAATCAGAAGCAGCTACATTGCAACTCGATTGTTCCCCTGTCTGTCCCACATTTTAGGGTATATATAAAGCCAATCAATGGCAACTGAATTGCATTTACTAAAGTTTTTGCTGTCCATAGCGAAATTTATAAAAAGAGAATTCTATAATTCAGTTGTGATAATGCCTCCAGCAGAGTGACAGAGGGAGATAAGTTCATGTTGGGCTATGGAGTATGTGTAGAGCCAATCAATAGCAGCTCTAATTGCTTATTGCATTTTGTGACTACCCCTTAGGCTAGTAGTGTATAAAAACATTGTCTATTAAAGTTGTATCAATAGATGTTGCATGAGAGCGAAGGGTATATGCTGCTACCTAACAAAGAGAGTAGAGGCTATATGCTCCGCTCTTGTAGAGATAGAAGACCGTATATGCTGCTTAGTATAGAGAGAGGATATATGTGCATTGCTTACCTATATATGTATATATAGGAGTAGAAGGTATATGCTGCTAAATAGTATAGAGTAGAGAGACAGTCAAGGGTATGGGCTGCTTGATAGCGGAGAGAGTAGAGGGTATGAACTGCTTACCGGAAGAGACAGACAGAGAGAGAGAGAGAGAGAGAGAGAGAGAGAGAGAGAGAGAGAGGCAGAGAAAGTTTATGGTCTATGCTTTCTATACGACTGTTTCTGGCAACCTAATGCTTTTTTTTTTTTAATTATTTAAAACTTTTGTTCTATAATTTCTGCTAGACTACATAAAGAGCTGTCATAAGTTCTTGTAGCTATATGCTATTCACAAATTTGGCAAACAAAAATGTGATTTTTATTTGGCACGAGGTATTTACTAGAGAAGGGGTATATTCATTATCTATGGGAATTTGTGGAAACATACATATATAAGGCTGGTCCCAAATTACTCTTAAAAAGATATTAAAACTTTGTATATAATAAAAGACTATGCTGTAATCTGCATACTACAGTGCTTACTGACTAAATTGTCTCTATGTTTCAGGTGTGCTCAAGCTGAAGATGTCGAGTCGAAAGAGTCGAGTCGAAAGATAAAAGTAAGTAAACTCTATGCAACTCTATAGAAGCTAAACAGAATATATATTAATATAATAATGCTATGACATTCATAGGGTATCTATTCGTCACTCAGTTTGAGCTCTACACACACAGTAAACGTGTTTTGTTTTTAGCTGTTTTTGCCATGCTGGCCATGCACTTTGGTAACATTTATCGTTGCCGGCTGCCAACTTGCTGCTGCTCATTGTGCCGGAATGACCAATTTTTGTGATTTTCAATTAAGTTAACTGGACGACTGGCTAAGGGCGGTCGCAGGGGGCTGGTGGGGATCGAGAGTCTAGGGTTGGCTGGCAAGGGCTGCTAGCTGTCAGGCTCACAGTATATTTTTGTAACAGTTTAAACAGCTGCCGGCTGCATGTGCTAGTCGTCCCGTATACCCCTCTCTCGCTCTCTCTCTTATTGAGCCAATCCCAATCAGTGCCACACAGCTCGTGCTGGGCTAGACTAAGGGCAGTGGCTGGCAGCCATGTCTCAGCTTCTGCTGCTAGTTCAGCCATTGCGGCTAGCCAAAGCGCTCGGCACCATTAGCTGGAAAATTTATCTACATGCACTTGACAGGTGGCCACGGCTTGATTTAGTTGTGCTGCCACCCCGACAGAGGGGCGTGGGGGGAGTAAGTGAGATGAAGATGGAGATGGAGATGGAGATGGTCGGCCAGTCGAGCTGCCACATTAAATTGGAGCGCAACAAATGTCGGCGCCACTTGATGTGCTGCAGCTGCTTGCAACGTGCGCCGTGCAACACATATCCATAGCTTAAGGCCAATTTGGTCGCCCTTCCTCTCCCTCTCTCTTTCTCTTGCTCCTTCTCTGATCAGCTAAGTGCTGCAGCTAAATTGGCTAAAATTCAATAAGTTAATGTTGTGGCCACGTTCAGCTCACGTGTGCTCGCTCCAGCTGATTGACAGACGACAGCCATTGCACTCGCCTTGCCCCTGTCAGTTGCAGTTAATTTCATTTTGCATGCGGCTGCCTCAGTTCGACTCCGTCTCTCTTGTGTCTCAGTCAGCCATCAGCTTTGATTACATTAAGCATTAAAATGTGCTACAACTAGTTCGGCTCACAGCACTTGACTTGGATAATAATTTCAGTGTGCGGCTTCTTCTTGCTCGACCGAGTGGTTCCACTTCATTTGCCACAAGTGGCGGCAAATAAAATCGACTTCAAATGCCATTTGTCCTTGTCAGCGCACAAATTTACGATTGACAAACGATGTGAGATGTGCGCCATGCCTCGAATGAAGCAATGCTCACAATTGTAATTCAATGCCAGCTGTGGAACATAACAAATGAGTTTGAACCAAGACGGGACGAGTCGAGTCGAGTCGAGTCGAGCAACAGTCGTTGGCTATCAAAAATAATACAAATTATGCGCGTGTCACACAGCAGGCAGAAAGAGAGAGAGAGAGAGAGAGAGAGAGTGAGGGAGAGGGGAATATTTCCGGTTGGGCTGCATAATTCATGGCAGTCCGTTAGATAAGACACTTGTGCATCAATTCATCAGCAGCAGCTATGCCGCACAATCACACATGTAAGTAGCTCCGACACACGTGTGAGTGCGTGAGTGCGAGCGAGACGGACTGCGCTGCCAAGCGGCGGCTGCGTGACACGGGCGAACAAACCCTTTTAAGCTGTCAAGTGGCGTTTTTGTTATCAGCCGCGTCTAATGAACGATGACACTGATTCAGCAGCGCCGCAGCAGCAGCAGCAGCAGGAGAAGCAGCAGCAGAAGCGAGTGGCAGAGATGGCTGGCAGGAGGAGAAGCAGTGGAATGAGTGGGTGCAGCTATAGTGTGGGCAGTGGATAAAGTGGATAAGAGCAGCTGCAGTAGGGGAAAGGGGAGAAGCAGTAGTAGCAGGAGAGGGAGCAAGAAGAGGCAGAAGAGAAGGAGAGGGCAAAAGAGAAGGTGTATAGGAAAGAAAAGGCAAAAAAGGTGGCAGAGAAGAAGAAGGCAGAAGAAGAGGTATAGAAGAAGGAGTAAAAGAAGGTAAAATATGTGGTATAAAAGGAGGAGGAGGACAAATAGAGTAGGCTCATGGTGTAGAGGGAGGCAGAGAAGGAGAAAGAGTAGCTATAAGAGAAGGAGGAGACAAAAGAGGAACAAAATATAGAAAGAATAAGCTAGGAAGGAGAAGGCAAAGGCAATGAGGCAAGAAGAGCAGAGAAATAGGCAGACAGGACACCATAAGAAGAAAAAGAGAAGGCACAGAAGCAAGCAGATCGCTAGCAAACAGAGGAGCAGGAGAAGGAAGAAGATTAGGAGAAGGAGGAGAACAAGGAAAAGGTGGAGTGAGATGAGGAGGAGGAGTGAGAGAGGTGGAGTGAGAAAAGGTGGAGTGAGATGAGGAGGAGGAGTGAGAGAGAGGATGAAAATACGAGTCAGCAGCAACGGCAATACGATAATGAAGAGGAGGCTGAGTTCTAAGGAGTAGGAGAAGTAAGAGGAGTGTAAGCAGCAGGAGTAGGAGACGGCAGCAGCAGATACGGATAAGCCAGGAGTACGCCAGATTGCAGCCACACACACCCACACACACATACACTCACACACACACACATCACTTAGGCAACGTATTGATGCAGTCTTCTGCTTGTTTTCATACTCAATTAGCCTTGACAGTGATTAATATTGACTGTAATTTCATTAAATCGCCTTTTGATATGCTCTCTGGCCATAGGTTCAGCTGGCCTTCGAGTTGGCGTCGTCCTGCCTGAGCATAATTCTGTTACAGCCCACAGCCCCAGCCCCAGCAGTCCGCCTCCTGCTGCCAGCATAATTTTTTAAAGGCATGTGAGTTATATGGCAGTTACTTTGGTTAAAAACCACTTTTGGGCTTTTGGCTTGTGGTCAGCATTAATTCAGCTCAATTGAGCGTGGCTTAAAGCCCTATTAATGAGGGCGATTTAAAAGCCCTCCGCAGATAAGTTTTTGCTGAAAAATATTACGTATACGCAACGCAGGCAGAGAATTTGAATGGAACTTTCTATATTTAGAAGAGCCCATGAGCCTATGAGGGAA